TCAGTGATCGTTTTCGCATTTATATATAAAATCCAACAAATCCGTAAAAGTAGACTTGTAGGCGCGCTTTTTTAGCCGAGTAGCTGTTTAGAAGGTTTGATGAATTGGATTGAAGTGGCCGTTGTTGATCGAATTCTTTAGTTTGTTCAACTTATTTTTCTGCAGTTCATCTTTGCAGTATTTTTCGTTAAAAGAATGGAAGAGGAAGCTGAAACAGCTGGAGAGGCTTCGAAGTGTGATGCATGTATAAACGATAGTAGCGCGATTGCTGAAGCAATTTGTGGCGCAAAGGAACCGGATCCACAGCCGGCAGGAACCGACTTATCTGAGCAAAAACGTGTGTCAAAAAGGCAGGCTAGGAGGTTTGTGCTTTGCTTCAGCTTTCTTAATTTAGAGGTTCGGGTTTTCCTCAAATTTCGGAGATTGTGAGAAGCAGAGAGACGTATCAGATGTTCCATTTATATTCGTTGAATTTGGCATTTTAGGCTACGAAAGGAGGAATTGAGGCTGTCAAAGAAAAGAGAGCGGCGAGTTCAGGAGAAGTTAAAAAAGAAAGCGAAACATGCTGCCCAGCGTGAGGCTGGATGCATCCCAACCAAACGAGCTCGGATCAGGTTTGCATTTCGCTACACCTTTTGTGATGGGTGAAATGCCCTGCACAGTAAAAGCAGTTCATCGGATGAGCCGAAATCTCGCGGGCTTTAATAAAATTTTTAAACACTGTTGAAAAAACAGAGAAGTGTCCTTACTTCAGATTTGTTTTATTCCAATAGGGTTTGATCTTGCACTACTTGAAGCTGCAAAGAGATATTTGGCCGGGAATGCTTCTGCGCTGAAAATGCACAAGGTTCTTATTGCGAGAGAATGTGCAGGGAAGGAATACAAGACTGGCTGTGGCAGCATTTTAACGGTGGAGATTTCTGATAATATTGTTGTTATGACCGCAAGCACTGCAGAGGGCCCCGTTTACCTATGCTCAGCATTCATTGACGGATCCGTGGGGGACGGGGCCTTTCGCCCTCCTCCCCCCCAGGGCTCAGGTTGCAGTTGTTTTACTGTACAAAAGTCTGTTCGGTACCCTCTTTCATCCCTCCCAGGAGACCGCCTAGATCCTCCCATGTCAGCGTTGGAAAACTGAATTAGATTTCGTTTAGCCAGATGGGAAATTCGAATTGTAAGCAGCGAGTTGCCATTGATATGTCATTCGAGAATTTGATGCGCCCAAAAGATATTCGCCATTTGTTTGTTCAATTAGCACATGCCTATGCCGTGAATCGACGAGCAAAAAACCCATTACAGTTCAGTGTGGTCGGCTTTTCGGGACCTCAGAATAAGGTATTGCTGCTTTGGTAATGTTATTTTGTTAAATTTTGTAGTCTGTATGGCCATCAGCGGAAATGCCGTTGGGTGTGTTCAGTTTCCCATCCGAATTTTTAATTTTTTTGATAATCAAACCAATTGATTAAAAAGCTCAGAGTTACATTTGCAGCAGTTTTTTGACAACCCGAACAATCATCACTGGGATGTGATCTTCGAAGAGCGACCTTTGGATGTCGTCTTCGAAAAGAGCGAAATTGTTTATCTGACAGCTGACTCTGAGAACTCACTGGAAACGCTGGACAGCTCAAAAGTGTGGGTTTGTGATTATGCTGTTTTAAAATGGCCCATCTGCGAAACGGCATTTCTTCTTAAGCATTTTGCAAAAAAATATTAAGCGATGCTTTGATCATCAATTTGATTAGTTGTCCGCCGAGTAGTTGATTAAAATGGCTATTCTATTTGAAGGTGTTATCTGACGAAAACGTTTTGATGATTCTAAAGCCCTTCATTCTGTTTTCTTTGTTCCAACGCAAAAGCATGATTGAAGTTTTGTGCTCCAAGTGTTATGTCAGCTTTCACCGTAGTTTTCATTGTAGTTTTCTCTCATTTTGCTGCGAAAATAGTATTAATCGTGCTGACATTTTGAAAAATGCTAAATTCCGTTACAAAAGAATTCTGTGGATATGTATTACAAAATTATTATATTTACTGGCGTACTAAGTTGCAATGTTTTTTTATTGCCTAAATTATGTGTGGAAATTTCAGGTATGTAATCGGTGGTTTACTCGATCATAACTCTCTAAAAGGGCACTGCTTAAAGTTAGCTACCGAAAAGGGATATGCCCACGCACGTTTACCAATTGGCGAACATATCGCTCTACAAACCAGAAAGGTGAGTTTAAAATTAGTTTTTTAGTCACATTAATTTTGCAAGAAATTTCACAGTTCACCTTCCGTGGAGTTGGTAGAAATTTTTTTGCTTGGAATTTCCTTGAAATTTTTTTTGTTATTGAGCTTTTTTTAGGTGTTGACAGTTAATCAAGTTTTTGAAATTCTGTTGCGGTACACGGAAAACCAGTCGTGGGTGAACTCGTTTCTTGATGTTATTCCGCGAAGGAAAGGAGTTATTGAGATTAGCAGCTGTTTGAAAAATAAAAATGAAACTGAAGATGGCGATGCCGACAAAAGATCGGAAGAAAATGATGACCAGAAATCTACAACCAATGTTAAGGAGCCTCTAGAAAGCAGCTGTAGCGAAGAAAGCACTTTAAACGACGTATGCTGACTGCTTGCTAAACAATGGTAATGGGTCTGTTTTGTTGGAATTCCTTGTGCGATACTAATCTACGCATTGCTTTCCTTGTCTTTGAGGTGCAGTTGTGTCGCACATTTTCTTTTATTCCTATTATTTAAGTAATATGAATGATTTAAAACTGTTACTATGCAGTGTTTGCCTATGAAAGTTTTATTATTACATGTTTTCATGTTGTCGATACATTCAGTACCCCTTACAGATTTGCAGCAGAGGGAGCTGCATCATCAATTAGTTAATTTCTTGTGGGCCTGATGTCCATTATCCCTTTTTTTTTTCATTCTACTGGAGGCAGCTTGTAGTTGTATTAGCCCACCATATAAATGCAGTGCAGG